TGTTGGTGCCGGGGCTGCGGGTGGCATCTCTGGCCAGGACGTTGTGCAATCTGGGGGTTTGCAAATTTGCCATTCCGAGCCACACAAGAGGGGGGTGTCAGGCAGATATTCCCACAAGCAACCACTGAAACCATCCGTCCTTGCTCCCTCTTGCCTGGCACCTGGTGGGGAGGCCCTGACTACTGCAGGTCAGTGACTGCCAGGATGCATGGTCAGCCAGGGAAAACCCTGCTCGGCGGCTGTTGTCTCTTCTGCCACCTCACTGCAAATGTGACACCCACCTACAAGAAGGGCCAGAAGGAGGATCTGGGGTCCTGCAGGCTTGTTGGTTTGACCTCTGTGCTAGGGAAGATACTGGAGCAGATCATCTTGAGTGCCATCACACAGGATGTACAGGACAATCTGGCGATCAGACCTAGTCAGTGTGGGATTATGAAAGGCAGGTCCTGCTTGACTAACCTGATCTCCTTCTGTGATAAGGTGACCCAGCAGGGGATGAGGGAAAGGCTGTGGATGTTGTTAATGTGGAGTTTGGTAAAGCCTTTGTCAGCATTTTCCACATCATTCTCCTGGAGGAACTGGCTGCTCATGGCTTGGGCAGATGTACCTTACTGACCACTGCTGTTTAATATCTTCAGCAACAACACAGACAGCGGATCAAGTGCGCCCTCATCAAGTTTGCAGATGACACCAAGCTAAGCGGTGTGTTCGGCATGCCTGAGGGATGGGACGCCATCCAGAGGGACCTGGACAAGCGCGAGAAGTGGGCCTGTGTGAAACTCATGAGGTACCCAGGGCTGCATCAAAAGCAGCATGGCCAGCAGGTTAAGGGAGGGGATTCTGCCGCTCTGCTCTGCTCTGGTGAGAGCCCACCCAAAGTCCTGCATCCAGCTCTGGAGCCCTGGGCACAGGAAAGACATGGAGCTGTTGGAGTGCATCCAAAGGAGAGCCACACAAATGATCTGAGGGCTAGAGCACCTGTCCTATAAGGAAAGACTGAGAAAGTTGGATTTGTTCAGCCTGCAGAAGAACGGGCTCTGGGGACGCCCTAGTGTGGCCTTTCAATACTAAAAGCGGACTTCCAAGAAAGATGGGAGCAGACTTTTTAACAGGGTCTGCAGCGACAGCACAAGGGGCCATGGTTTTAAACTAGAGGGGGTTAGATTTAGACTAGATGAAAGGAAGACATTGAGGTGCAGGTGACATGCAGAAAGCAGACTCCACAGTCTGTAAGACTGTAAAGCAGGTATGTTTATTTGGCGCTGGGCAGCACGGGGGGTAGTCCCAGCAAAGTCGTGAGTGCCGAGCAGCAACTTGACTTCTCAACTTATACAATCAAGTATTACATATGCATTAGATCTATTAATACGCCTATATCTATGCATAACCTAACCCCGCTTCTTATTAAAATCAGTTCCAAGAAGTACTTTTCTACCATAGAATCTTCCCAGCTGCCCTTGCGCAGTGCCTTCTGGTGGTGGTCATTGGGGGTCCCAAGATGAAGGCTCATCCTCTTCATCATGGTGTTTGACGATTGACCTTTGTTTCTGTGCAAACTCAGTTCTCTTCTGGCTCCCATCCATACAGCAGAGTCGGTCTTAGCTGGTTCTAGGTGACTGCCAGCCCCTATCAGGAACTAACCGCTTTGTATGGAGATGCAAGACTCTCTGCTTCAGTTAATTTA